AGGGGACAGCCGGTAGCATCAGGGACCATGCCAACAGGACCAATCCCTGTGCCTCCCCTCAGGTCCCCTCCCCNCTAGGGGACAGCCGGTAGCATCAGGGACCATGCCAACAGGACCAATCCCTGTGCCTCCCCTCAGGTCCCCTCCCCTATGAACATCAGCAGACTCTGCTAAGTGCCAATCGGGGGAAGCATCAGGGACCATGCCAACAGGACCAATCCCTGTGCCTCCCCTCAGGTCCCCTCCCCTATGAACATCAGCAGACTCTGCTAAATGCCAATAGGGGGATCCAGTGGTCTATCTCTAGGTGGTGGGTGCCAAGCATGCCCAGGAAGGTACATGAGGCCAATGGGGATTGAACCCACGACCTCCTGAATACCACTTGCGAGCCTTACCAACTGAGTTAGGCCGCTGGATACTAGGGGGCTCGTTCTACACTCCTTGGGGCGTCCTCGGAGCCCGGAAAAAATTTCCTTTTAGTCAAAAGGAAATTTGGGCCCTTCGTCCTTGGGGACGTCGCCCGATGACGTTTCCTTGGAGCTATGTCAGAAAAGAAAAAACGAGAAGAAAAAAAAAACAAATGTGCTGGTCTTCAGCCAATAGGGTGCCGCCACAATCCAGATTCTCGGTTGTAACGTCTCTCTACGCGTGTGCCCGCTCCTCTCCGTGAAAGGCGGATTCCTTTTGCCCAAGGGACCTCGTGAGGTCCCTTGGGCAAAAGGGAGAAATGGCTGGGGAATCCTCGGAGCCCGAGGAATTTCCTTCGGAGTGTTTTCACTTTTTTTTTTCAGACTGCAACCCCGAGGATAAGTGGAACGAACAATTCCTCGGGGACTTTACGCGCCCGAGGAGTGTCGAACGAGCCCCTAGGACCTATTTGCATCTGTGCTCTTTGGTTTTCAACCATGTGGCCGTCCGTACGAACGTCAATCGTTGATCTTTTTCCGTATCGACTGCTAGTGTCCATTGTCTTCATTTTTTTTTTTTTCATTTTTTTTTTTTTTTCCCGTTTTCGTGAAGGTATCTGCCCATAGGCCGGTAGAGAATTTTTAAATTTATTTGTTGGCCATTTAGTTGGCCACTTTGCGTTGGTGGGATGCTTCAATTCTATGGGTTTTTTTTTTTTTTGGTGGGGGGGGGGGTTGAATCTTCGCGCAGTGATTCTTTTATGTCCAGAAACAAAGAATATTGAGATTTCTGTGTGCACTGACAGTTGACCACGCCGTGTAAGCCAGTTGGTTTCCTTGCCTTTTCCCCGGCACTAAGGCTTGAGAATGAGGGATGCACAGGCTGTACTGTCACGACGTCGATGCCAGACTGATATTTTTTTTTTCATTTGGGTCCTTTTCTTTGCATTTGTGTAAATGAAAAAAAGCATTATTTATATGTTTTTAAATAAGAAAAGAACGCCACACACCGTTTTACGCGATGCTAGTCGGTCCGGGTCCCTGGAGGTGACCGCATATGCTCTATTTTCTTTTCCGCATTTTCTTCAAAAATTGGCAACAATTCGTTCACAAAAGTTCTTGCACAATTTATGGATGGTGCCGTGTGACCAGCCAAGTACCAAAGCCCCATTTCTCGAGACGGCCGCGACCTTGTCTCGTGTAGAAAGGTACAACAGTGCGACATGAGCCATGCCCAAAACCTCAAATCGGCCCTTCCCAAATCCACATATTTTGCGGATTTGGAGTCGCAGTGTCCCTGACATTTGTGCCTCACGCAACTGCACGTAGTCAAACTGGTTACCCCAAAAACATATCGATTTATTTTTTTTAACCCCGAATGCTGAAATAACACACACGGGTGGTTTGCTCATGCACGAATTTCTTGAAATACCTCACGGAGAACGAAAAAATTGAATAAGGTATTTTGAGACCACCTCTGGAGGTGGTCTCAAAAATGGTCCTCCCGCGGCCATGCAGGCCGCTGACAAAAGGGTCACCGAAAAGTACATTTGGGTACTGTGACACCCAACCTCACGCCCGGCACGACTTCCTGATTGGAGTGGGATGGGGGCCCGGAAGTGCGCAAAAAGGGGGTGTGCCAAGGATTTTAGGAAAGTGGGGGTGGAGTCCCGGTCGGAACTGAGATCTCCTGTGACAAGTTTCAGGGGTATAGGCGCAAAGAGGGGGTACTGAGCAGGGGGGTGGTTGCTGATGTCGTGCAATATAAGGCAGATGACGTGTGCAGGGCATCTCGGGCTAAAATTTTGGGGCACTTTCCCGCTATCGCCGTACCGATAGATCTAAACACTCTTGCATTCTCGAACAAAATCCCAACAACATTGCCCCTACCAACAGGTTTAACTTTTAAGGCCGAAGAGAAAGAGGAATCACCATCGCGACTGATTTCGTCTTCGGGGTCGGTCGCGCGGTTCGGTAAATTGTCGGTGTCAAGTCTGTCGGGTAGTTCCCGAAGCTCGGTGCGCCCGGTGATGCCGACAACCCTCGCACAGCGGGATGGGCCAGTAGCGAGCTATGAAATTCCACGGTACCACTGTGAGTTGGTGATATGGGAGGAGGAGATGGAAGAGAGGGAAACTGGTAGTAATAACGACGAAGCCAGGGGATATGAAATACTGCGTGTTATAAGTTTTCGGGTAGTCGGGGCACCTGGGGTTGCTAGTTATGGCACAGTGAAAATCCCTTGCGCATAATCTATCGTTTTCTGTGAGGCAAGTGAATTCCGGATTTCTTAAACTTCCCCGTCGTCTGAGTTGTTTGCCTTCCCAATACTCACGATATTCCGGATCCCTCAGATTTTCGTAGCCGGACGCCCAGGAAGGAGATCTCGCAGCCATGTCTGTTTAGTAAGCCGCATCCCCCACATCCTTACATAAGGTTAAGGTTGACTTACGCAGGCGAGCGCGTACGTGGCGACTCGCCTCTCTCGAGATCGCGAACGTACGCACACGTGTACGTAAGGAACAACCGATTGACTCTGTGTGCCGGTCTCATTCAATGACAAGTGCAAATATCCTACCGATCACTACATGTCATACATGTGACGCAAGAAGAGGAAAGAGGGAATAATCGACGGTTGGACCTCAGGCATCCAAAGTGAGCATTCCCAATCAGACCTGATCGCATAGCTTACGCAGGCGCACACTGGTCGGAGACAACACAGACATCGCAAAACAAATCGAAGAGATCGCTAACAAAAAAAAACCTATATTTATTCCATGCATACATACCGAGCAAAACAATAAGGAAAATCCGAGACAATGTACAAGAGAAGTTCAAAAGAGAAGGGTCGTGATAAAGAGATCGGTCATATCAGAATCCAAATTTATACAGATGAATAGAGGAAATGAAAGGAACAACAAAAAGAAGCCTTATCCCACACCCATACCACTGCTCTCTCTCTCTCTCTCCCTCTCCCGTTGCGGGCAGTCCGTCGCCTCGCATCAACACCCATGATACCGGCAGTTCGTCGCCGCGTATCAACGCAGAGTTGTCACCCCACTTGGTTCAAGCATGCAAGCCAGGTTCGCCCGTGCGCCACAGTCCGTCACGGCCTCCCACGTCAACCCCGCATACCCGACACCAGCTAGTCGGATCGCCCAACTCTCACACTCACTCACCTTCCAAACTTGCTCGTTAGCTAAACCTCACTGATCGCGCTAACCTCAGAATTCTTAGAGAGGAAACTAATCGCGCTTGCGAAATTTATGGCATGCATGCCTGTGCGAAAGGTGGGGGATTAAGCCCAGATGGACAAAAAGAGAAGAGAGGAAGTGCCTACGTCTGCATGGCCAGGCCGCGGCGTTGGGGTCGTAGCCACACTCCGCGCATCGATCCGGTCATGCAGGCGCTTCGGCCAATTAGAACAATGCGAGACAAAGAAGAAGAAGAAGAAGAAGAAGAAGGCGGGCAACATAGGAGAACCAAGAAAGAAGAAGGATTACAGTTACGATCGCGCGCGCCAAAAACGACAGTTGCACAAGATCAAAGGCGCGACCCAGTCAGAACCCAGTTCCCCTCGCAACAAGATGCGTGCGAACGCTGCGCGACAAAATTCAGAGTACCTAAATTCTTAGTCTAAGTCCTAATTGCAAAAGGAAATTCCGAAAAGAGAAACAATTCCGAGAGTCCGTGGGGGCTCAACATCAATTAAGAATTCAAAAACGATATTCCCGTGCGATGATCGCGCCAAAATTCCCAGTGCTTACAACAGAACAAGAAGAGAAAAGAAAAAGCTATAGTACAGTTATTTCTTGCGCCCATCATGGCGCGGTCACTGAATCATTGGCGTGGGGCTTTCCCAGCGCCGGCCCAACGAATTCCAACAAAAACGAAAAAGAAGTGAGGGTATCCATGCAACTTGCCCAACCGAACCCCGCTTACGCCCGTCACTCATCAAAGCCCTCCCGTTTCCCCTCAGCCTCGCGCAGAAAGTCGCGCGGCACAGAAAGTGGTTCGTCACATATGTGACACCCAGGGGGTTCCAATCTTGAGCAAGCTCCTGCTTGCTCGATTCTTCGACACGTGTCGATTTCTCTAATCAATCGACGACGCGGAGATCTTTACGCGCCACTTACCGTAAGATAAGAGTGTGGAAGTCATCCAACGTGGCATTCGTGGGCTCTATCCTACAAGTTCCCGGGGTAGGGCAATCTAATCACGGCCGGAGGAGGTGGTGGGGGATCTTGGGGAAGAGGGGGCATGAAGCGATAGATATCTTGGGTTTCGAGAGCGGGGAGGGGGGTGTAGTGGATGGAACGGTGGATGCGGGGGAAACGAGGGTATTCGTGTTGATGGGGAAGCGAGGCGAGGTAGTCAGGATAGAAAGTGGATATGGTGCGATAGAGGGCAACGTGAAAACTCTCGTAGTTTTCGCAGGCGGGGATTGTACCCGAGATAATACAATAAATTACTATATTATTGTACTCCCGCCAGTTCGCGCAAAAGAGAAGGACGTGGAGAAGGAAAGAATCGACGAGGGGGCGAGTGGTGGAGTGCGGGACGATGGTGATCAGAAGATGCGTGGCGTAGAGTTGATGGAAGAGGGCGGGCGGGAAAGGACAACATCAAGCGGGGAAAGGGGGTCAACCTAGGAGTTGGCGGGTCATCATGTAATCATAGGGACGACGGGATAATGACCGGGAACGAAGCCCGATCGCCCGCATCTCTACGAAGGCGAAGGGTAGGGCGGGGTGGGGAAAGGGATGGGGCCGACGATTCACTCCTCTTGCGGTGGCGGCTTCCCGATCCCTCGGCGGCGGCTCCATCGTCTTCGTGCTCCTCGCGTGGCGGCTCCGGGTTGAGCGACTGGTCTCCCAACAACAGCTCCGGCGGGGGCCCTTCTTCGATCGACCGCTTGCCTTCCACCTTTTCTCGTTGCCTCTGGGCCTCGGCCTCTTCTTCTTCTTTACTTCGCCTGGGCCGATTGCTTGGTTCCCCTCGCCCGCTCTCTTCCTCCGTCGGTTCTTCTTCTTCTTCTTCTCTCTTTACTTCTCCCTCGGTCTCCTCTTCTCCGACGTAGCCTAGATCATCCGGATCCGTGCCCGATTCTTCCTCCTCTTCTTCTTCTTCTTCTTCTTCTTCTTCTTCTTTGTCGATGACCCGCGCATTCGCTCGCCGGACGACGGAGTCCCAAAGCACGAGATCGGTGACGTCGATTTCCAGGTAGAGGTCCTGGGACGGATAAAGACAGTTGTCCGCGTCCAGCTCCATGCACGTGGACCACAACAGATGAGGCGCAAGCGTGCGGGGGAGTACGTCAGGGTCGGGCTTGCTGTCACACCGTGATAGGCAATTGAGGGGTATATCGTCCACTAGCTGCACCAAAAACACCAATAGCTCGCTTGTGATGAGGGCGAGATTCCCTTTCTCCACCTTGCCAAATATTATGCCCAGCAGCTCTCCCTCCGTTTTCGTGCGCCAGGCTTGCAAGATCAGTAGCTCCACCTCATCATTCGGGACTTCAGTCCCTTCTCCTTTGGGCGCTGACTTGGACCAATGAAAGATCACATCCACCAGGCAGAAGCTAAGCTCCAGGTAAGCGTCTCACCAATCATTCCACTTGTCTTCGTTCAGGATCGGCACGCTGAGTTGCTTGATCTAGAAAGAGAGGCTGGGGGCGTGAGCGGACTGCCAGAAGGCGGGGAGATCGGAAGGAAGACCGAAGAGAGAAAGACGACGACGACTGATTGGAGCGGCGCAAAAGGGCGAAGCTCCGGAAGCAGGATCGGCGGCGAACTGGTGGAAGAGCGGAGCTGCAGATCGATGTCGTGAGATGTCACGGCCGTGTCTCCTCGACAAGCTAGGAGCGCCATCCACGCGGCTGCAGTCTCTTCTCCCCAGGCTCTCAAGGTCCGAAAGATGTCCGCGTGGATCGCCGAAGGTACCGCGGTGATATCCCCGGTGAAGACGATGATGACGGAGACGTGATTGAACCCGGGCAGAGACAGGCGCTGAAAGGCCGAGAGCTCGGCCAGTACACGTGTTGCTCCTGCTTGCACAAACCGGAACTCGGCCGCCGCGTGGATCGCCGTCGTACTGAAGAAGGCCGCAAAACGGAGAAGGTCGGGGCTAAGTCGTGGCCGCTACACTTGCCGAATTATCGTGATTCGCCCCCTTGGGGTCATCAACAACGCACTGATTATCTGCTCCACTGAAAAGCTCATGGCGATGGAGGCGGGGACGGAGTTGCTGACAAAGAAGGAGAGGGGGATGCTAGACAGTCGTCGTCCTCTTCGGTATCGAAGGAGGAAGCAGACGGAGGTGGAGATGGGGAGGTAGGGAGGGGACGCAGATTGGACACGTGGCGAACGATCGGAAGAGCCGATCGGCTGCCTAGACCTCGGGCACCAGCCGCACTGTGTTCACCCCGTTTGGGCCGAGCTCGACCACGCGAAATCGCCCGAAGAATCGTGGCGCTAACTTCCCTTGGCGAGCACATTTCCTCACCTGCACCATGCCCCCCAATTTATACTGGGGCCGTGGACCCATGTTCCCATTTCGGGCCTCGTAGCTACGGACCTGTAGTCCGTGGGCCAATTCAGTCATCCTCTGGCGCTTTCGGGCCAGCCGGGGAAGAGAGAGAGAGAGAGAGAGAGAGAGAGAGAGAGAGAGAGAGAGAGAGAGAGAGAGAGAGAGAGAGAGAGAGAGAGAGAGAGANAGAGAGAGAGAGAGAGAGAGAGAGAGAGAGAGAGAGAGAGAGAGAGAGAGAGAGAGAGGCGACGAGATTGCTGCTGCCCTCCGCCCAGTGCGCCGTCTCTCTCTCTCTCCCTCTCTCTGTGTGCCAGGCGCTTTCGTAAGTGCCAAATGAGAATGTGTCTTCCCACTTTCACGGGAAGATGCATTCGCGTGTGGTCTCTCTCTCTCTCTCTCTCTCTCTCTCTCTCTCTCTCTAACCCGCGCGAAAGCAGAACCCTTTTCTTGTTTTCTTTTTCCTTTTCTTATTTCCTTTTCTTTTATGTCCTTTTTTCTTTCTCGATTTTTTTTCCCTTTCTTTCAGAGCGACGTTCAGGAAGTGGATGCCCGGTAGTTTGAGCCTCGCAAGGGTCGGTGTACCTGTGGGCCGAGGCTCGGACTTGATAGCTGGGCCAAATACTGGGGGTCCTCCACTAGCGGTTGGAGGACAGGTCATACCGGAATTTGGTCCCCTATATGTCCTCTTTTGCAGTGATCGTCCAACACCAAGATTCGCCCACCTCGACACAAACGCTGGACCCCACCGTACTGCAGCTGCGAAGTCAGGGTTGTAGGTTTTTTTTTTTTTTTTTTTTTTTAATACTCTTCTCTCAATTTCACCTCACACTACCTACCCACCACTACTCCTAATTGTAGGCATACGGGGAACCCGTAGCAGCCAGAATCGTGTTCACGAGAGAACATGTCCGACCTGCAGGTGGGCGATACCGGCTAGGGGACAGCCAGTAGCATCAGGGACCACGCCAACTGGACCAATCCCAGTGCCTCCCCTCAGGTCCCCTCCTCTAGGAACATCAGCAGACTCTGCTCAATGCCTATCGGGGGATCCAGTGGTCTATCTCTAGGCGGCGGGCGCCAAGCATGCCCAGGAAGGTACATGAGGCTAATGGGGATTGAACCCACGACCTCCTGAATGCCACTTGCGAGCCTTACCAACTGAATTAGGCCGTATTTCACTCAGTCATTTGCTTCGCGTGAAGTTCGAACGCAGGTCTGTACTTGGACAGATCAGGGGCGTAGCAACTGGGCTAGGCCAGTGCGTATGTCATTTCCTCTTTGTGCTCTCAAACGTGATGGCCTTGAGGTCTTATTATTGTTATCACTGAACGGATTCCCGCGAGGTTGCAGAGTTGGCTGGCCATCGTACCTACACTGTTTTTGGCAATCTCAACCTGTTTGTGGCGCGCCCCGCGCCCTACACGCGCCTCGTGGCAGTCACGTGCCACGTGGCAGTGCTTCATACGTGCCACGTGGCAGTGCCTCATGCGTACCACGTGGCAGTGCTTCATGCGTGCCACGTGGCAGTGCTGTCCACGTGCCACGTGATAGCGCCCCACGCATGTATTGCAATCTGGGCAATCTCGATCAAGCGCACGCAAGCAAACGTCGCAAGCGTTGCGCAGGGAGCTTCGCGGGAGATATTCCCTCCCCCTTCAGCGTGGCAGTCCCACGTGGCAAATCGAGCAACTTAGCAGTCGTGCCCCCCCCCCCCCCCCCTTCTTGCCACGTGGCCGATATCTGTCTATTTGAGAGGTAGTCTGTCTGACTACGAGGGGCTCACTGAGCGGGAGGAAGGGAGGAAAGGCGAGTGACAAATTACTGTAGTAATTACTACCAAACTAAATACGACCTAATTAGTGATTAGTATAGTAATCATCAATAATAATTAAGGAAGAAAGAAGTACTAAATATGTTTCCGAAGAGTCATAGTATTCGCTTGGAGTGGAGATGGAGAGGTAGCGGGCGGGCTTGCCCGCTGAGTCTGGCTGCAGCGGCGCTGTTGTTATTATCAGTTGTTGTGAGCGGGGGCGGAATGGGCGTGGCGGCTATGAAGCATGAGGCGAAATGCAGCGCCTGTCGAGCTGTAGCGGTGAGGACGTCAACCCTTATTCTTGGCCATGGCGACATCTGTCTCTGCTCCCTCTCACCTGCTTCCCCCGTCGTCCCTCCTCCCTCTCCTCTTCTCTGTTCCCTTCTCTCTGGCGCCATTGTCTTTCCTAGGGATTGTGCTCGTCTGTGCTGCTCTTTCTACTTATCTACAGTATAAATAGAAAAAAAATAAACATTAAAATTATTAAAAAACAATTATATATTATTTTCGCTTACGGAAAAGAATCCCACCCGGGATATGCGATTGGCCAGAGGCCTTAGGAGGAGGCGTTGGACTTGTTCTATCTGTGTTCTATCTGTCCCCCGCTCGGCTCGCGCAAGGCGTCTTGGTTTAGGGTTACATGACGCCGCTACGCATCCCGGCCTGTTTTTCGGCCACCCTCCCACCTCCGAGGGACCATAGTCTCTTTCTTGCGTTTTTAGACAGCCACAATCTTAGAGCGTCTTTGAGAGAGAGAGAGAGAGAGAGAGAGAGAGAGAGAGAGAGAGAGAGAGAGAGAGAGAGAGTGAGAGAGCCCAATTGCGCAGGAAAGAGAGACACGGATGTAGATGAATAGATAGATAGATGTGGGGAGGGAGAGAGAGAGAGAGAACGGCCCCAGGTAAGAAAAGAAACCATCTTTTTTCCCTTTTTTTAGTTCGATAATAATAGCAAGTCCATGTTTGATATGTCTGCGAACAAAGGGCTTAATTCCTAAACCCTGTCCCTAAAGTTTCAAGACGTGAAGTCTATAGTGTGCCGAGCTGTTTCCCGAGCCTATACCACGCCGTATCCCAACCCTGTTCAAAGCCGTATCCAAGCCTGTAGCAAACCGTATGCTGAATCTATACAAAGCCCTATTCTGAACCTATACTAAGACGTATTTGAAGTCCTAAGTGTGCGAAGCCCGTTGCCGAACCTATACCAAGCCATCTGGTGAACCTATACCAAGCCCTATTCCTGAACCTATGCCCAGACCTATCCCGAGCCTATCTAAAGCCGTATCCTGAATGTAGACCAAGCCTTTCGACGAAGCTATACTAAGCCGTATCCTGAATATAGACCAAGCCTTTTTACGAACCTATACTAAGCCGTACATCGAGCCTATACCAAGCCGTATCCCCAAACCGCATCCCTACCCTACAGCAACCCGTAGGTAGGCCGAACCTATACCAAGCCATATCCCCAATCTACAGCAAGTTGTATCCCCATCCTATTGCAAGCTAGGCTACCGGAGTGGCTCGGGACCACTACCGTCTTCATCCGAATAGAACGCCCGGTCGTTATAGAGCTGAATTTGGCGCAGCTTTCGGCCCAGATGGAGCGATAATGACCGGGTGTTCTATTCGGGTGAAGACGATAGCCCGGCCGGGCCCTATCAGAATCGGAAACGGCAATCCCCGTTCTTAGAGGGGATCAGCAGAGCGGTCTGACAGAATATTACCGTAGTCTCTGAGAGAGAAACACTCTCTCTCGTTTTCGTCTGCTCTCCGCCCCCCTCTCTCCCTCTTTACCCTCCTTTCCCTCCCCTTATCTCTGTCTCTCTCTGTGTGTCTATCAGGGCAGACTCACTCTAGGACTTTTTCTACTCAGCTCCAGACGTTATTGCGGTCAGATTCATCCACATCGGGGCGTAATTGCGGTTAGATTCATTTTGCGAAGCACTAGTGTGACTATGCCCTCAGACTTGAAGTGCGATTCCCACTCCCAGAGCTGATCAGCAGAACGATCTGACAGACACTGTGTGTGTGTGTGTGTGTGTGTGTGTGTGTGTGTGTGTGWGAGAGAGAGAGAGAGAGAGAGAGAGAGAGAGAGAGAGAGAGAGAGAGAGAGAGAGAGTCTCTCCTTCTCGTCCTCTCTCCTCCCCCTTTCTATGTCTCTCCCCCTCTTCATCCCCCTTCTTCCCGGCTTCTCTCTCTCTCTCAGCGGCGATGCGTATTATTCTACGACCTGACCAGACTGGATCGGGGAGGAATTCGCCGAACCCTCGTTATACTCTCGTCGAACTCGCGTTGCATTCTCGTTGAACATTCATCATTCATCGCCCCTCATATCTTTTGTTTGTATGCATTGCTGAGCCTGCAGCGACCTCTCCTCCTCCACATGGCCAGCAAAGGAAGTCGAGACGGTTCCCCCCGTCTCCCCCCCGCAAAGAAGCTTGCATTTTATATTATAGAATCCTTGAGAGGCCAGGAATTCCTCGACATAACAACCCGGACAAGACTGGGCCCCCCAAAACCCAGCTTAGGCTCGAGCTGGAAAGAGAGGGGTTCCACCGGACCCATTCAGAGCAACAAGAGTGCAAACCCCACCCA